CCCCGCCACTGCAGGCACCCTGACAGCTGCCAGGTCGGGGAGGGAGAGGCCAGAGGACCTGACCTGCAACCTCCGCAGGCAGATGTGCCCCTCTCTGCACAGCGACAGCAATGATGCTCCCTGAGAGGAGGTAAAGGGCAATGCTCAACAGGTTCAGCCACCAAACCACCTGCATGGAGATGAGAACAGGAGGGTGAGAAGAAAGTTGCAGCTCTCATGGGCTGGCCTGAGGGTCCAAACTGAGCATGTGCAGGCACTCACCGGGTTGCCGAGCAGATACACACGGAAGTCCGTGTCATTGACTCCGGAGAAGCGCAGGCCCTGCAGAGCAGAGGACACGCTGCTTGTCTGGGGCGCGGCTCATCCCTGCTACACGCATTCCAGGGGGAGGGGACTGGTCACCTTTCACAGACAGGGAGCCTGGGCAGGAGGCTCAGATGTGAGCTCTCTGGGAAGGCTGGGTCAGAGTCAGGGCAGAACACAGAGCCCCATCTCCAGTCACCCCATGCCAGGCAGTGAGGCCTTGCCCTGTCACCCTGGCACACCCCACCTCTACCAAGTCTCCATGGTCTCTTTCTTGGCTCCATTTCCTGGGAGGAGCTCTGGCCTCAGGCCCTACCTGGTAGTTGATAGGCCAGTGCCAGGGTTTGGACGTGAATTCATTGTCCTTGGGTTTGAGGCCACTGTTCCCCTGCAGGAAAATGGCAAAGAAAAGCTGGTCAAGGCAGATGAAGTAGGCTGACAGAGGTGTGCGGCCCAGGTTCTCTGGTATTGACTGAGGGTCAGGGGAAACCCTCTCTCCTCTCTCTCCCTTGCAGGAAGAACCAGGTGCTTGCTCTCGGTCACTGCCCACCTGCCTATGACAACTGCCTTACTTCTTGCAACAGGCAAGCCTCCAACTCCCACCTGAGACAGTCCAATCAGACCCTTTCTGCTTGACAGAGAGAGGAACAAGGAATCTGTTTCCTAGGGGCACAAAACATGGACCCATCTTGCAGGCCAAGGGCAGGTGTCAAGAGGGTGAGGAGGGGCATATACAATCAGGGCTGACTTGAAAGGCCCATTTCAAACAAACCCAGGAATGCTGAGGAGTTCCTGGACTTCGAAATTTTTACTTCAGACCAGTGTTCTCAACTTTTTAAATTACTGCCGCTCCCATATTTTTTAGGCATTTTTTCCCTAAATGCCTTCACCATGACATTGTGATACCATAGCTATAATGTAAATCTGTTTATATACTATATGAATACCCGTGCTTTATACATAAAAAAGTTCAGGGGGTTTTGCCTTCCAAGAACCTATTTTACCCACTGGAAGTGATACAACTCTGGCTGAGAATGCACTTAGCCCGAGGGACCCAGACTTAGCACCTTTAATCAGTAGCAAAAATCTCCTACACCTGTGTCTACATGGCAAAACATGGCCTTTGCTAAAACAGGAGGAAAAGGGTCAGGATCCTGCATGCTACCCACCAGGACTGCATCAGCCTCATCATCAGGACCCACTGAGAAGGCGTTTCCCAGAGGAGGAGTTGGGTGCTCTGGGTTAGGTCAGGCTTTGTCCACCTCGGCACTTCTGCCATTTAGGGCTGGAGAAGTCTTTGGTGTGGGGTTGTCTTGTGCAGTGTAGGATGTTTAGCATCCCTGGCCTCTGCCCACTAGATGCCAAAAGCAGCCGTACCCCTCAGCATTGCCAAATATCCCCTGGGAGGCAAAATCACCCTCTCTTGAGACCCACTGGTCTAGCCCAAGAAAGATCCAGAAAGTTTGGTTCAGTGAGCCAGCACCCAGTGCCTTGCTAATCCACCTACTTGAGGGGTTGGGAATCATTTGCAGGCCTCCACATGATAGTTGGGTTGCTCTTCCAGGGTCAAAGGGCCCAGCCACACAGCCCCTGAACCACTATGGCCATGTGAAGGGCCTCAGAATGAAGAACAAATCACTCTGGACCCCAGGGCATCTGCTAAGGGAATCAATTTCTTCAGTCCAGTCCAGTCCAGTCCAGTCCCAAACGCAGGGATTCCAGCCAGAGCTATAATAAGCCAACGGCCTCCTATTCACTACATTAAACTCTGAGAAATCCGGCTCCTTTACTAAACCAAGTGGAAGGAAGGAAAAAATAAATCTGTAACCATTATAGGCATATGCATTTGTACACTGTTCTCTATGCTTAAAACCTAGAGCAGGCTTGTTCCAGCAGCCTCACCAGGAAGGCGGCCTTCCCCACCAAGGCCCAGTCTTCTACTAGGCTGGTGGAAAATCCCTCTCCCCTGCACTTTCTGTGGTCAGGACTATTTTGGTCTCTCTCTCCCTGTCCTGACTCTACATAAGACGAGTAGGAAAGGTCCCCTATGTCCCTTTTCTTCTTGGACTCTACCTCTTAGATAATGAAAGAAGAAATTAGACTATTTAGACTTAGTCTTAAAATTCTACCCAGACCCAGAATGATTCCTTGACAGGCACATATTCAAAAGAGCTGTGTCATCAGGCCACAGTGACAACTACAAGCATTGAGTCAGAGAAGAAGTGACCCAGAGATTGCTTGCTGTCAACTCATCACCTGCCAATGTGCCGAAATGACAAAATTTAAATTTTTAAATTTAATCTGGTGACTTAAGTCAACTGTATTTACTGATACTGCTTCCATAATCACTTCCAGAAAGTCCACTTGACAGTGGCTCACCAGGGGGAAATAACAGCTGCTATACCTCTCTGCAACCCTGGGGTTGAGACACAGTGATTCTTAAACATTGTTCCGACAGAATACCGGTTCTCCCTAAACCAGAGCAAAGGGTTTCCCCCTAAACATCAACACTGCAGCAGGGTTCCTCCAACCACAGGGAAATTTAAGCTAGTGGAGAGAATTTCTCAATTTAAGGATTTCCTCTCTCAATTGTTTTTAAACCTTTGGTGCTACAAGTGCTGTCAGCTACTAATGATACAGAGCACAATGAACCTTAGAAAACCTTAAAAAGAATCAGCCATGCCCCCAAACAGTTCGTCAGTGAATATGAGTGGTTCATGGCTGGGATTTTACGCTGCAGTAAACCACACACTTGAATTAGCTATTCATGCTAATTGATCATAACTTCATATGAGGGAAAGAGCTACCAATGTCTCGTGATCTTCAACCAAGAACATGCTGGCTTTCAGGGGCTCTGCCACTTGAACAGACTGGAGAATCACTTTGAGGCAGAGGGTAGTACAACTAGCACTGGCTCTGAGAGCCTGCCAACCTGGCTTTGAAGCCTGGATCTACCTCTTACATTTAGCTGTGTGACTCTAGGCAAGGTCATAATCTCTCTGTGCCTCAAATCCCTCCTCTGTAACCCAGGAACAATAATCTCCATAGGACTGTAATAAGTATTAAATGAGTTAATACATGTATAGTGCTTAGAGTAGCACCTGGCACATAAAAGTTACATAAGTTTTCACTGGTATCATCACTATTATCATCATCTTCATCACCATCGTCATTCTGTGATAAACAGAAATGCCTTTGAAGACCAACTCAAGCAGTAAGTGAAAACACTTTCAAAGTCCACCACAAGGGGGCAGCGGGTCTATACCATGCCTACTGATCTGTGATTCGAATCTGTGGATGGCTCAGAGCTCTCAGAGAAGCCACCAAGTGGGAGGGGGCCATCATACCCGTATCATCACCATGTGGGACTCCAGCAAGATCTCAGGAAAACTGGGCCGCAGCACGTCCAGGCTGATGTTCGGCACTAGAAAAAGAAATGACAAAGTAGAAAACCATTGTCACACGTTCTCACAGCTGTCTACGGTATCCACACGGCTGCCAGAGTCTGAGTGCAGCTTTCCTGACAAGCTGACAACCAAGTAGGCGAAAGTGTTGAGTAGATGGAAGAAAGCTTGGCCCAATTCTTGACTGCTCATTCAGCTTGTATGAAGCACTCATCTGAGAAATACGAAGGTGGTAAAAAGAATAAAATGGGAAGCAGGGAGAGGAGAAATCAAGCAGAACTAAGAAGAGGGTAGTCTAAGAGAACAGGCAATGAATCCAAAGACTCACTGATTTGAAGATGACACTAGGTGGAAATGTCAAATTGGAACCTGGGAGAAAATATATGAGGCCCAGATCAAGGACTGTGACTGTCACTTTCTGTAAACGTGTTGCCTGGATGTGGAAGGGGAGGAGCTCTATACAGAGGCATAGAGGGAAAGCACCAGCCTACTCTAAGCCATGAGGGTAGGGAGGTGCCCATGGTGCAGGAGACAGAAGAGCCCAGAAGGAGGCGAGATAGATGGACCTGCACTACATGTGCCAAGGAAAAGGGTGCAATCCAGCAAAAGGCAAGGGAAATGAGTGCGATCCAGCGAAAGGCAACTAGCTCCGCCCTCAAGTGAGGTCACTGGTCATTTCAAGGAGAGGATGTTTAAGTGGATGGGAAGGAAAAGGAGCTACCTATTGAGACAACTCATCTGAAGAGATTAGGTTTTGAAGGGACAAAGTGGAGACAATAAGATAAAGCGGCAGCAGAGTCTATAAAGGTTTACTTTTCTAAGATAAGAGTTACTTATCAATGTTTCTCTTCAGAGCCAGCCCAGGAGGTGACCTCACTCACATTTGGGATTGATATGGTCCTCCACGTTCCAGATGGAGTTGAGGGTTTCCTTTAGGTATGGAGTGCAAGTAACTTCCAACTGCTCCCAGCCCCTGTGAAAAGCAGTCACAGGTGTCTCTCAGAAGACCTGCAACTCACCAGAGTAGCGTGGTCGAATGCCCTTAAATCCACAGAGCGCTCTCTTTTCAACACAGTGGCCATGCTTTTTTCAAACTTGAACTATCCTAGGAATATTTTAGCATATAGTATTCCCATTTTAGAGAGACATATAGATTCAGAAAGTATAAACGTTTGTACATGTACACTCAATTATCAGAGCACATAAAACACTAGAGGAACTTGGTGCTCTATAACGCACCTGATGCCTTTTCTCCCTTCATCTACCACTAAAAATAAGCAACCATAGGTTAACACTGACAACTGGGAGACGGAAGCTTCTGGAATATTTGCAGAGTACAAAGAAAAGCATGAGCCTGGATTATAACATCAAAACCCCCAAAACTCACCACTTGGGCAGAACCTTTCCCGAGGAACCCAGGACACAGCCTGTGACCAGGTGAATTAAGCGAATTTGACTTCTCAGCACTTTGATCCGGTTTCCAAATTTTCTGTTTATAACCTCAATCCGCCAGAAATCATTTGAGTCCCCTGTTCCATTCTGCCGCATAAGTCAAGGAAAAAAATACAAAGAAAGTAAGATGACTTTAGAGATGACATTTCAGATGCCACCATGTTACAAAGGTTGAAGACTAAATTGACCACAATGATAGAGGTAGGAAAGGGAACAAGAGGGCCCCAGAAATATTCCAAGTGACGGACACTGCTCCAGCATTCACTATTCTAAACGAGAAAGGTAGTATAACTCCTGGAACCTGATGCCCAATCCTTCACTTCATAGGACAAGAGTTTAAATTCTAAATAGATGGTTCTGCCCTTAAACCAAACTCAAGACATCACCCTGAGCCAACAGAAATCGGTTTGGGCCATTTGCATCCCTGACTTTGGCCATCTGGACACTCACTCATCTAAGCCAGAAAGGTCTGGCCTGGACATTTTACTTTGGAAATTAAGACAGTCATGTCTAATTCTCCTCAGGAGATGCCCACAAGAAAAGGGTGAAGTTCAGAGTCTTGGCTCTAGCACACACTGGGATAAGCAAACAGAGAGGGCTGGAAAACTGTTTATAAACCCGGAATTTTTACTGACGCACCAAAGCCCCTGGAGGGAAACATAAACGACAGTCATAAATCTAGTTACTCACTGGCTGTTTTTGTTTTCAAATTACTGCCCAAGCCATAAGTAAGTACTCATTGAGCTTCCTCTGTGAACTGCATCACCCCAAGGTAGTAAACACCCAAAAGCAATGTGGTTAACACCCCTCTACAGACCAGGGAAGTCATCCTTAAAAACAAGGAAGATAGAAATTTGGGACCCGGCAAAGGATAAACATACATAATCATCTGGGGTCATACTGTGGATCTGTGGCTTCTTTGTCCAATGTGATTTTAAAAGGGACCCAAATAATATTCATATTTGACATTTATTAAGTGTCAGAACATAAAAATGGCGTGGTTATTATGGGAGGAGAAATATGGAGACCAATAGATTTCATAGGCTGCTTTTCCCATAGCAAGCCTAGCGAAAAAGTCTCCAAATGCTCAGAGTCCCTGTGCAGCAGCCTCCAATCCTTAGGAACATGCCAGAATTCTAGGGAGGATGTGTTCCACCATATGGCCCCGAGCCAGGCTGGGCACACTCCAGTTGCTCACTTACTATGCCATAGCCAGTGACCTGGTAGTGCTTCCGGGTCAGGGGGGCCTCATGATAGTGACTGTGCAAGTTCCGAGAAGTCCTAGAAGTTAAAGAGAGAAGTGCCATTATCTTGAAGAAAAGAGAAGTGTACTGTTTCTTCTTTAACCAAGGACACTTATGAGTCACCTGTTAGGATAAAAAAAAAAAAATCTATGAAATTCAACATATCAGAAACTTCGTGCCTATTTACTCTCAAGAAATATCTAGAGAATTGGAGAATTGTCCAAACCAGGAGGGACAAATGGTAGGAGTACTGGACTGTGTGCCAAGAAAGGAGCGAACTTCAGGTGGAGGGTGGGGGTGGGGGTAGTGACAACACACTTGGTGGCTTTGAAGCCCTTAGCCTGCAGTATGGGGAGAAGAAAATTAAAATATGAGATCTACATATGCCTGAGATAGTAAACCCCCCCTCCCATCTGCTCTTTCTACTCCCATTGCCAGTTTTATATTTATATTCCAGCTTTCGTATTAGTCATTTTCAATGAGAACACTGGTTAAATAAACTAGCTTGCCATATTCTTGGAACCAGGCTCTTACATCTTTCTAAAGGTAGCCACTTAGGAAGCAGTTCTGGGCAACTGAAATTTTTTCTTTTGTCCCCTAAGAAAAGGGCAACTCAAAGATACGTTCAAACTTCAAAGCTCCCCAAAGCCAAAAGAGGCAGGCAACGGCTGGTCTGCTTATTTCATCAACCTTCCTAAAACAGTCAACCCTCCTCCCACAGCAGCCTTGTTCCATTCACTAAAGCCTCGTCCAACCTGACTTCTCTTTATTTCCAGCTTTAAAAGAACTCCCTACCTTTGGTGTCCATACACTCATTTATCCCAAATAGCAAGCTTACTTACTCTTTATGTTCTAGTCGAATGATGTCTCCATGTCTTACGAACTCCACTGGGAATGAAGGGTCTAGGGGATCTGCCGAGAAGAAACAAGCATTGGTACCTGGAACCATTCACTCATTAGGCCAGATTGATTGAGGGCCTCCTGGTAGAGTTACAGTATGTGCCATGTGCTAGAGGTGCTATCAGGGTGCTGTGAGACCAGAGAGAAAGGCCCCCGCTGCTTCAGAGGACTAGAGAAGGGTATCCCAAAGATAATGTCTGAAAAGACTCTTAACGGAGAGGAAGAATTTTGCCTGGCAAATGGTAGGGGAAAGGCATAGAGGTATGGAAGAACAAAACTCATTTGATGGTTTCCTGTGCTTAGGGTGGGCGAGCAAGAAGAAGAGTGGGGATAGGTGAGTGTGTGAACAGAGGGGCCAGACTTATCTAGCACTGAAGCCCCCACTGGAAGATTTTTAAGCTGGGAAGCCAAGTAGTACTAAGATTTTTCTTTTAGTAGTAAAAATATAGTCTTCCAGAAATTAATTCCATGGAAATTACCATTTCCCCAGCTCTCCTCAAAAATCAAATGTTAAACCCTGAAAATTTTGCCAGTGATTATCTTGTCCCTGGCAATATACTTGCTAAGTGAGAGGTGAAGAAAATGATGAAATGATGACAAAATGGGACTATAGTTGACCCCTGAACAATACAGGTTTAAACTGTGCAGGTCCACTTATACATGGATTTTTTTTTTTAAATAGATCTTTATTGATTTCAGAGAGAGGAAAGGAGAGGGAGAGAGAGAGATAGAAACATTAATGATTAGAGAGTCATTCATCGGCTGCATCCTGCACGTCCCCGACTGGAGATCGAGCCTGCAACCCGGGCATGTGCCCTGACCGGGAATCGAACCCCGATCTCCTGGACCCTAGGTCGACCCTCAACCGCTGAGCCACGCCTGGCCGGGCTACATGGATTTTTTTCAATAAATACTGTAAATGTATTTTCTCTTATGATTTTCTTAATAACATTTTCTTTTCTCTAGCTTACTTTACTCTAAGAATACAGTATATAACATAGAACATATGTGTTAACCAACTGTTTATGTTATTGGTGAGCTTCTAGTCAATAGTAGGCTATTAGTAGTTACGTTTTTGGGAAGTCAAATGTTATACATAGATTTCTGACTGTGCGGGAGGCCAGCGCCCCTAAGTCCCATGTTGCTCAGGAGTTAACTGTATCATCTAGAAGTCAAAACTGATCAGGATCTAGAAAGGTGATGACAATGGAAAAGGAATCAGCAGTAATCACAGCAACACAGAAGAATCCTCGCAAGTTTCTGTCCCAAACAGCGAGACACTACCACTCAAGGTCAGAAAGACAAATTTACCAGCAAAAATCACTGGCTCTCAAGAGAATCAGGGAACTCAACCATAGAGATGCCCACATAGAAGTGGACATCATCTATGTGGGCTTTTAAAGTCTATTTATTTATTTATTTATTTAAAATATATCCTTATTGATTTCAGAGACAGGAAGGGAAACGGAGAGAGATAGAAACATCAATGATGAGAGAGTCATTGATCGGCTGCCTCCTGCATGCCCCCCACTGGGGATCGAGTCTGCAACCTGGGCATGTGTCCTGACCGGGAAATGAACCGTGATCTCCTGGATCATAGGTCGATGCTCAACCACTGAGCCACACCGGCTGGGCTTTTAAGGTCTCTTTAAATTTAAAAGATTAATCAGCAAAATGACAAATCAAAAAAGTCAATGGGGAGGGAAGTTTTATTTCATATAAATTTTAGGGGGGCAACATTTACAGCCATCGAGAACTCAAAGACCTCAGTCCATACAGGTCCTGCTTCCTGCAGAGCTTGTAGCTGTCTGCCTTCACACAAATCCTTAGCTGCTTGGTTGAGATGCAGCTACTTTAACCTACTGGAATAAAAGACCAGGGATGTGCAAAGATCCGGCCTGTGCCTATATGGCTTTTGAAGTAAAGCTGGTCTCCCTCCTAACACCTCACTGTGATAGAGCACTTAAGTGTGGCCTGTTGAACCAAGACATAGACCCTGCCCAAGAGTGTCATAGTTATATTACTGAGGAGTAGGATGCAAAGACAGTGAATGTGTATGCCACATTCTAATCCAAAAACCACAGCAAGAAGAGGGGGTGGGGAAGGGAACTAAGAAAGTGAATTTAGCTGAGCATATGCCACCTCCCCACAAAGGTTCAGGAGCAGCTGACTCAAGGCAGGCTGAGCAAGGTGTTTTTTACTGGGGAGCCACAGAGAACGCCTGCAGCATAGGACAATCTGCAGGGGCTCAGGCGGTGAGAGACGCCCTCTGTTCTCTCACAACTGCAACAGAAGGCACAGCCTACAGGTAGCTATCTGACCAAAAAAAGATCCAGGCACAGCCCATGTCAGAAAGCCCAATGAGCCCGGCACGTGTGCCTCAGAGCAGCTTTGCCTGGCCAGGCAAAGGCAGATCAGCAGGCTCTGAGTGAGGTACCAGCTGCCAGCCTAGACAGGCCAGCCACAGGGCTGGCAGGCCCTCAGATCTCCAACTGACTGGCCCAGTCCATGGATGACCAGTAGGCAGCAACACTCCTCATATCAAGACAACCTGAGCTGCACCATATGCCAGGGTCTGCAATGCTTGTTCCAGATTAGAAATGAGAGCAGCTACCATGTGCCCCAGTTGGGACTATTCACCAGCCCCGGTGGCATGTCCAGGTAATCCTCTGGAACAAGTCTGAGCCTTGGCCCTAATCTCTAGCTTCAAAATGACAGCTCTAAGGACAGATCTTATCTGTCTTGCTCACTGCTAATCCCCTAGGCCGACAACAGCACTTCAAACACAGTAGGTGCTCAATAAATAATTGTTGAAAGGCTGAGAGAGTAAAGATGTTATCAAAGAATGCTTGGGAAAGCCCGCCCTATACCCTTCTTTTGAGGGCATGAGAAATGTTGAGGAGGGCTCAGAGTAAGTAATAACACCAGGATCATCAGTTCCCCACCACATTACCTGAGTCTGCATTCTGTTTCTTGATAATCCACAGGTTGTTGTAGTCCTTGTGCAGATAGGTGGTAACCTGGGTGAGAGTGGGGGGAGGGGGGAGAAGGGGAGAGGGAGAATGCCATCATTATCAGCACAACCAGCCACAGGACAATCAGTAACAAACCAACATTGCTTAAGCCTTTCAGAAACCCCAGCCACCAACCCGAGGAGCCAAGTTTCCCAACAGGACTCAGAGGTAGCACTGGCAAGTGAGATTCTCTCCTTCCTTCTGCACTTAGAGGACTTTTCCCACAAGAAGGAAGAACCATGATACCTTCTGTAACACAGTCTCTGGTACGCAAAGAGGATTTAGTGTGTTTTAAAAAGTAAGTAAGCCCTGCAGGTGTGGTTCAGTAGTTAGAGCATTGACCCACACATGAAAGGGTTGCGGGCTCAATTCCTGGTCAAGGGCATGTACCGCGTTGTAGGTCCAATCCCCGGCCCCAGCACCTAATCCAGTACTAGGTAAAGATGGGTCATGGTGGTCAGAGGGGAACACCTAAACCGAAGCCTAAAGAAGCTGGAGTTAGCCAGAGGAAAGAGAAAGAGGGTTCAGGAGGAGGAAGAATGTTCCAGAAAAGCAGGGGAAACGGCACAGGCAAAGGATGGGAGGCAGGAAGGGAGTGGCGGGTTCAGGCCTGCAGACAGTTTGGCGCTGCTACAACACAAGCACACTAGACGCTCACTGACCTGCTGCTGACGGGCACCAATGCCCTCGGGGTAGAGGTGTCTGTGGGAGTGGAGGTAGCCAATGGCCATCCGCAGGTTCTTCACTGTGATCACAGAGCCGAAGGCCAGGTCTGGGAGGAAGGCAGGCAGTGGAGGGGGTGAGCAGCAGTGCTAGAAGCTGCCCCTGACTGGGAGGGGCCTCCCAAGCCACAGGGCTCACTGAAACTCTTACACACACCACTAGGCCCAGGACCACCTAAGGCAGGGTGCACAGCTGCCTTCTCACTCCTATAGGGTCAAAGGGAGTTCCCTAAGGGGTGCCCTCTCCTCCCCTTCCTCCTAAGGACTTCAGAAGAAGCTGGGTAGTAACAATGTTACTAAAACACTGTTTGTAATAGCAAAAGATCAGACCCACTTGTCCTTCAGTCAAGGTCTGACATACATTCAGTGCAATAAAGGAAGAAGCATTTTATGTCGTTATCCTGAATGTTCCCCAAGATATAATAGACTCGTCCGACTTTTGTGCTTCTGAATCTAGTACCATATGAAGTAACTGTTTAATGGTATTTGGGATTTTTTTTACTCTGAATTTTAAAAAATACAAAAGCAAAAAACAGAGTAAACCACAGAGCATCCCCTCCTCTTGCAGGCCCTGGGTTACTGAGCAGCTTCACTTCCTTTTTACTGCCCCTCTTTTCTCAATCCCTGACATTCCCCACTCCAATGAAACAGGTCTCACTCCACCAGAGATGGCCCACTCCTGTCTTCCTCTGTCCATTCACTTGGTGAACAGACTGTACCAATTCCACTTGGATCCAAAGGTGGGCAGGCCTGGCTGCAGCCACGGAGAGTCCAGTCTTGGGGGAGATGGCTTCATGCACTGACGAGCACAAGACAACGGGCAAGTGCTCCAGCAAAGTGTGACAGTGTGAGACGTGTGGGAGCCCAGAGCAGGGCAGGAGGAATTCTCGTCCAAGGACTAAGAGGATAGCTTGATGGAAGAGATCAGAGCTGAGCTAGGCTTTATAAATGACGCATACGAAATGCTAACCCGCAGGTCCGTTTTCTAGGTTCTCAGTGCAGGCCACACACGCAGCCCTGCCACTGCTGACCACCTTTGCTTTCTGAAATGCTGTCTGTTCCTCCTTCTCAGCCCCATGACTCCCTCATGAACAGCTCCCCACGGCCTCCTTCCCTGGGTCCCCCCTGCCTTCCTCGTGGCCTGACCTCAGTCTCATCTTCTTCCTCATCTCACTGTCCCCTCGTGGCCACAGCCACTGCCACAGCATCAATCACCCTGTACCTGGCTGATGCCACCTTTGAAAGCTTCAGCCCCGAGCCCGCTGGCCCCAGTGCACGATGTCCCCAAGCATCTCAAAGTCAACCTCTCTGATGGAGAACTCAGTATCCGCCTTTCCAAACCAACTTCTTTACCTGCTTTCCTATTTCTCACTTTCCAAGTTGTTGGAGGGCCCACTGTGTTCTAGGCACTGTGCAAGGCAGCGGAGGGACTAAAAGACAGAGTCCCTGCCTCCAGGAAACAGCCATCTGGGCTCAAGTCCGTAGTGATATCTTGTTCCTCCCTTTCCATGCCCAATCTCCTTGTCTACGCTCGTTTGCCTTACCTCTGTGGCTGCTACTGCCATGCCCAGCTCAATGCCTGCAGCAGCTTCCCAGAGGCATCTCTGGCCTCCAATCCCATCTTCTCCCTTGCCATCCATACTTTGCCACCAGTGTCATCTCCCTACGGCACAGCCTTCCTGGCCTCTTCCCTGCCCAAACACCTCCACTGGGTCTCCAATGCCTGTTTAATGAAGTCAAACACCTCATCCAGGTGCTTCAAACCCTCATAATCTGGCCCAATCTTTTCAACCTATCTTCCAATATTTTTCTGCATATAATCTTTGCCCTGTCCTTGGCCCTGATCATACTGTCCCTTCTGCCCAATATACCTTCTCTTCCTTCTCCTCCTGTTGAAATCGACCCATCCTTACAGGGCCTGACTCCAAGGCCACTCACTCTACGTACCTCCAATCTCCTTCAATCCCCAGCAGAAGTGATCTCTTGCACCCTTCGATCCCTATAGCTCTGTGTTCCCTCTTTATGTACTTGACACATACAGTCCTATCATGCAGAGATCCTCTACACCAGACTCTACACTCTGGAGGGCATCCGCCTACAACCTCCGATGTGGCCAGCACTCGCTCAGTCACCACCTGTGACTAGGTCAATGCATGTGAGTCACAGCACACCGCGGTGGAAACTTGCCAGTGACCCGAAGGTCCTTGTTCTTTCATCAGAGTCTCTCTGGTTGGCCTTCCAACAGAGCTGGCTTGGATGTTTTCACGGCCACAATGGATAAGTTTCTCTTTAGTGTCAAAGAGTTTGCTGCTTAGGACGTCTACCTCTGCACTTCCTGTGTCCCAACTCCCTCTCGAGTACTCGTACTAGAAATAACTGGATCTTTCTCCCACCTTGTCATCTACAGGCTAAAATAACTCAAGCTATCATGCCCGTCTTTTCTAATTCAACCCCCAGAAAACCCGTCTGTCCTTTGAAAGGGCCAGGAGACACTCACACTCAGGGATAGAAGCGTTGTGAAGGGTGTTTCCCAAGAGCCGGGCCTGGAAAGCAGAACTGAAGAAGCCATCACCAGGACCGCTGCGGGAGAGGAGGCACAGAGAGCCAAGTTAATGGAGTGAAATCATAACTTCCCAGGAGCCCTGGAAAGAACTCTGCTCAGCCAGTTTAGAAGGAGGATGATGAGTGGCAGTGAGGTGTCATGAGACGGACATGGGTGGAGGGGGAGGAACAGGGGTCCGAACCCTGACTCAGCCCCTTACTAGCTAGGTGGCCTTTGAAAGATACCTAACCCCGCTTAACCTCAGCTCCTCGTTTATAAATCGGGGATTCACAGAACGCAAAACTGATTGTGATTAAATGAGATAATGGGTACAAAAGCTGAACGTAGTTCCTGATACGCAGTAGCTACTCTAAGTGGGAGCTGCTGCTAGTGTTGTTATTATTCTCACCCCACTGCACACCTTATGGTGGCCCACGCCTGTTAAGCACAAGGGACTCTGTTTAGGGATAAGGGGCTGTTAGGAAATTCTTTACTAAGAGTGTTGGCCTTTCTGAGCACTTTGGACACCCAAAGATAGAACATAGGAGACAACAAACAGGAAAACACCCTGGGTCCCCCTCCTCTCGTCCCAGCCACAGGCCCAGGAAATCACAGGGCCCATCCATGGGCTTAGAGGCAGGGGGAGGAGCAGAGCGAGGAGGGAAAGGCTCTGCTACCTTTGATTCAGCACCGCGAAGTGAACAGCGTAAATGGCCACGTAGAGAGCCAGCGGCAGCACTATGAGGCACAGGACGCGCGCAGCCAGGTGTTTCCCCACGGTCACCTGCGAACACAGCGGTGTGGGGTATGTGCGGCTTGGTTAGTCCTTATTCCTTGGAAGTGCGTTACATGTTTTTATGTATGTGACAGTCACAAAAAAACTGAAAACCTAACAGCCGTAAAGACAGACTCTGTGGAAACCCTAAGCCTTCCCGTAGGAACACCCCACCACCGAAACAATGTCAGGGATGGAGCCGGAGCCAGCCTTCTGCTGCCCGTGCAGGCCCTCACCCTGGACCCCAGGCTGTCACTCCACCACCAGCAAAGCACTGATGCATCTTCAGCATCGTCGCTCATCAGTCCCCCTGCACCCAGTCACGCTGACCCCTTGCACGCTCCCCACGCTTCCTGTACTCGCTTCCTGTACTTCCCATCCACCACATGGATGACTGCTCCTTACTTTAACGTCAGGCCTCCGCGTCTTCCCCGAAGCCCTCTTGCATCACCCGAGACTGGGTTTATGCCCTACTCTGTGCTCTCACTTGTTGGCTGAACTGTAATAGCCTGTTCACTTACTTCTCTCTCTGTTGTCTCTAGAGGGCAGGGATCTTTGTTTTATTCTCTGCATATTGTCTCACACTTAGTGGACAGCCTCTCTGTATTTTCTGAATGAATAAATGAATCTTGGTTCAGAGGTAATGGAGCAGCATTATAGTAAAATAGTTCAGGCCTGGAGTCTGCCTCCCCTCAGTTTGAACCCTAAGATCTGCCTCTGATTACCTGTATGACCTGGGGAACGTTATTACCTCTCTAGGCCTCAATTTCCTCATTTGTAAAGAGTGGGTAATAACAACCTACTGCATAGGATTGTTATGAAAAGAAAATGAGATAATGAAGGTAAGACATTTTGCACAGAATCAGCCCTTAATAAATAATATTGTAATAAATCCTAAAGGCCCTTATTGGCTTCCAAATCTAGAAACCCTCGGTCAGGAAAAGAAAGCTGTGAGTTCAGAAAGTCCTCCTGACCATTTCACCTAAGGTTCCCTGCAGTCAGTGCCTGACATATATCTGGCATGAGCCCGACTAGACAGAATCCCCTGGCTGGGTAGTTTGCAGAACATTTAAAAAAACATTGCAGAGACAAATGCCAAAAGAGAATTCCAAGAATGTGAGTCTATCTTCTCCCTTTACACCTCTCTAGTCTCCCATTCCCCGCTGTCCTGCTGCATACAGAGGGCAGATGATCCAGCACCTTGGTCCAGAACACAGCCACTCCCCGCCTGCAGCAGAGGCAGAAAGGCTGCCGGCTCTGCTGAACAACACCGGGGAGCAAAGACTTCTACAAGCACTTGGGTTCTCACCAATGAAAGACTGAGGTCTCCAAACAGGTGCCAAAGGTCTGATACGGTGTTCCACCCCACATGCAGGACGATGAACAGGCCAACGAACTTGACCCCCAAAGCACCAGCCAGATTAACGCCAGTCAGGCTGAGCCAGAACCACCAGGGGGCAGAGAAGGGCCTGAAAACCAACAAGACACAGACTTCCGTTTGGCAGCTGGAACCAAACTCAAAAGCAAGCGCAGCAGTGGGAAAGGGCACAGGTTCTCTGACTGAGGGGCTGTGCATTGCCCTCCATGTGAGGGCTCCTAACCTCAGGAGACTATGTGACTTCAAGGACAGTACGGCCGTGAAACCCTGAAACTGCAGGGAGCACAGTGTGAGAATGAGGTGGCTCTTTTTCCGTGGAGAGGGATCACAGCTTTCCTGGCTAAGTACAGACCTTAAAGTGAGCAAGAGGCTCATTCTCCAGTGATAACCAACCATGTGGCAGTCAAAGAGAAACCAGAGAAGCCGCTGGACTCAGTAAGCCCTCTCCTGTGTCACCTCTGGACCTTGTCAAAGCCAGCATTTACTGAGTGCTTACTGTGTGTCAGGCATGGTTCCAAGTACTCCGCACATACTAACTCTTTAACCTTCGCTAGCCCCACGAGCTGGAGCCTTGTTATCCCTTCCTCCACATGAGGAAATGAAAGCACAGAGAGGCTGGTTAATATAGCTAGCAAGTGCTGGAGCACAGTTCCAACCGGAGGTCAGTCCCAAGGTTTGCTGGACTTATAGCCCTAGGAAACTGTGCTGCAATTTTCTCTTTACCTGGCTGCCTCCCCTGCCACAGCGAAAGCTTCTTAACAGCCCAGACCTAGGTATTGCTGTACCTCCAGCTCCTAGCACAGTACCTGGCACACAGTATGCATTCAAGAAATGGCAGGTAGAAGTAAATATGGCAGAAACAGAAGGTAACCGAAAGCCAGAGAGAGCTGGTGACTACTGGGTCAGGCTTTATTAGCATAACATAATTTAATGAGCGTTGCCATGGTGAAACCAAGTTGACTTCTGGAAAAGCCTTGGCAGAGCCAGCTCTTTTGGTTTGAATAAAATGAATGACCTACTCTACTCTCTCAGAGGTAGAAGAATGATCTGGAAAAGACTACCCTGGGGGAAGACCAGACCCTCCAGAACAGCTTTAGAACTTAGCAGGGATCCTCTTGACTGCTATCGACCACCCAAGCCAACCTTTATATACACTACACCCACCATTAGGTCAGGGCTGGGTGTAACAATCACTGAGGGCAGGGAGACAAGCAGTTCCCAAGCAGTATCTATTCTGGTTCCCGCCCCTCTAGGATAGAGAATGTGAAGGACAGAGTTGTCCTGGGACTTCCGAACCAGCACCTACACCAAGGGGTGGCCCATAAGATGGTGGGAAGGCATTAGGACCCCTCCGTAATATCCACAAACCCCTATCTAGGTCCACCCCCCCGTAAAGATGATAACATTCTTGAAAACTGCAATTGACATTTTCTTACTCTTATGCAAAGCAAAAATAAAAGTATCTATAGAAAACTTTTTCAAATCTACTTTTATGATCTAAAATGGGCAACCTAAGTTTTAAAACAGTTGGCTTGCCTTAAACTCAGCTTCACGCAAGCCCCCCAGGCACCCACCCTGTCCCTGGCCATCTTAGGAATTCTGGAGCTGCCACAGCCACTGACCTCCCCGCGCCCCCCCCCACCCAACGGTGTTTCTGACCTGCCAGCACAGGAGCCATGCTTGGCCATGCTCAGCATGGCGGCCATGATGAAGAACATCAGGACAGGGTCCAGGAGAATGTACTGGGACAGAGCGAGGCATCCTGTGTCTGAAGAACACGAGCTTGGTGACCACACGGTGGGATCAGGGAGGGCCCGAGAGCCAGCACTCCAGCAACAAGGAACAGCCCCCTTGCACTTAACTGCACATAAGCATTTATGCAGTCAAGCCTAGATGGGCCCTGAGTCATCGGAGGGGGTGGAAAGCCACAGCTTTGGGGTACACCAAAGCCCAATGACATAAAACAGTATCTCACACCCTAGTTTGCTCAGTGGTTAGAGCGTCGGCCTGCAGACTGAAGGGTCCCGGGTTCAATTCTGATCAAGGGCACGTACCTCAGTTG